GGATTATGGTTTGGGAGATCAAACCTATCAAGTCTCAGCCTGTATTTCCTGCTTTCTCCCTCTAAACAGCTCCTACATAAGCTTCTAATGGGTCAGAGTTGCTTGTATTTTTAATTTTCCTCAAACAAATGCCAATCAGACCTTGCACTGATCCAGAACAATGCCAGAGTGGGCAGCTGCATTGCAGTGGCCCTGAGCAAGCTACAGAAAACCAGAAGGAAGAGGAACCAGCCTGGGCGAGAGGACATGACCACACCCCAACCAGTGAGTCCTCTGCTGGCCTCCATATGATGCCTCTCTGCTGACAGCACGAGATAAATTTATATCTGTTCCCAAAAGTAAAAGATGACTCAGCCAGGGACCAATCATTCTCCTTCACACTCTCAGACATTCTCCCTTTAGTTTCCCTTGTTATCCTTGAAAGATAAGTGTCTTCTCCTCCTTCCCCTATCCACATTTACAAGGAATAGACACTGACAACTGCCTAATCTCATTAAGTCTTAGACCATTAGGGCCATTAAAACTTTAACCACCTTTTCACCTTTTACTATGCTCTTATGTACAGCTTCAGCTCTACAGCTCTTAGTACCAGGGAACTTGTGACTACAGGAGTAGACCTGGAAGAGGGTGGGGAGAGATATTTTGAGCTGCTGAGCCATAAATGTTTATAAATATCTCTTTTTGTTGGCCTCCTGCTCATGATTGACAAAATCACAAGAGTTACTGCACATTCTGAACAAGATCTACTATAATGCTAATACTCTTCACTCTCTTGGATTTTGCCTGTGCCATGTAATTTTCAGGAAATTTTTAGGTGGTCTTTAGAGACATGAAAGATTTTCTAAAACCCATTTGCAATAAGATTTGTCAACATAAAAAAGGGCAGTGACTCCAGAGGCAATAATCCAGCATTTGATGAGAAAAAACAGCTGTATGTCCCCAAAGAATCTGGAAACTTCCTGTTTGTGGAGCTGAACTGCTTATTCTGGCTTTGTAGGACAATAAAAGAAGTGATCTGTAAAGTGTCACTGGGTATGGCAATTTCTCCTGGGAGCTTGCAAGAAATTACTGCATTTTTCTGCCCACTTTCTCCCATTTTCTTTGCTTTTTTACATACCAGTGCTTGAATGTTTCTAAGGCCTTGTGTATCACAGAGAGAAACCATCAGCATCCCTGTGTGTCCCCTGTAACATCCTGCCTGCCATGCTGGGGCTTCCTGTCAGCAGGCATAATTCAGAAAGCAGCAAAGAGCAGAGATTTTGATTCTTTCTGATTGGGATTGCACAAACTTGTCTCTAGCTATTCAAAATAAGCACTGGGCCTTACACTGTAAGTGAGAGAACTTTCAAGAGGGTGGGAGAAGTGACTAGGCAAAGCAAAGAAATTTGGAAACCTTTTCCTGAAGTCCTTCCAATCACTTTTTACCTTTCTTCCCCCTTAAAGGTGGTGATTGGCGGTATCAACGTTGACTTTATAGCCAAGGCACAGAACCCTGACATCCTGGTACTGTATCTGTAGCAGTTTTTCTTATCACCAATGTATTTCCAGCTACTTTTACAGGAGTGCCAAGCCAAAGGGGCTGGGGAGAATGTGGTGTCCATGTGTGATACCCACATGTGTGCATGCACACACTTGGGGGGTGTAGTGCTGCATGTTTGGTTAAGTTGTTTAGGTGGATAATGGAGTGACATATACTGACCTACTCTGTCCCCATGGTGAAAATCACCATCCCTGACACTCAAGAGAGGGACAAAGCAATGTATCATCCATGCAATGTCCCTACAGGGGGGAAATCCCCAGGTAAGAGCCATCTCTGGCTCTCTGAGACTGCCTTAATATGGGAAGCAGCACAAATAGGAGCAAGAGTCTCTGTGCAGAGTAGTCATGAAGGATTTGAGTCTCACACACACAAAAAAAAAAAAAAAAAAA